AAAAAACCTTCTCCAGTCGGTGTTCACAGGAAGTGAGGACTCCTTCATATGAAGCTGCCGTTCCAGTTACTGTGTCAAAATCATTCGGGATCAGGAGCCACGTACGACCTAATTAGATGTCGGGGGGGCCGGACCAGTAGAGTCGTATAAATAATATAATGTGTGCATGTTTTCCCCCCTTGTTTTCATACAAAGAAGTAGAAATATATTCAACCATCTTCATATTTAATGAAACATAGTTTAAACAAAAAACATCATAAACATGAAATGTTTGTCCATTTTTTTAACTTTCAAAAGTCATGAAGCGGACCGGATTGAACTCCCTAATGGGCTGTGTTTGGCCCACGGGCCGCATGTTTGACACCATGCAGCTCCTTGTGATCAATCACTCCAGCGACACCCGCACGTGTTGTTGTCTCCACGTCATTTCATAAAGCAAACGCTCTCATGCAAATTGAGCCATAACTCACTCTGAGTGGGTGTGTGTGTGTGTGTGTGTGTGTGTGTGTGTGTGTGTGTGTGTGTGTGTGGTCCTTGCTGCAGTGATGGACCGCTCTGACCGTGTGGACGGGACAGTAGAGCTGATTCAGTCCTCACTTCCTCCCCAGTGTCTCTCTCTGACGAGGCCTTTTCATTTTTCTGCTGAATTTTCAGCATGTATTTGACACTCGCTCCGTTCTCATCCTGTCAGAGTCAGAGTCAGAGTCAAAGTGCTGACTCTGACTCTGGGGACTTTGTTTTCCCTTTTGTCTCCAGACCACCTCTTCATCACAGCCAGTGTCTCTGTCGACTTAATACTTCAGGCAGTTCTGCAGCGCCCCCTCTCTGTGTTCCCTGAATCTCAAACTGTTCAAAAAACAAACTAAAAAAACTTCTGACAAGAAAAAACTGACAAGAACGTCCAGAGAAACTGGACGACACAGTCATCATCGTATTAGGTTCAAAAGTGACACAACAGCGTGGTTTCTCCTTGTACTCTGTGGGTCGGACCAGTTTAATCATCACATACTTACCTTTAAATAACAAAAAGTCTGTCTTTTCCCCTTTAGTTTTCATTCAAAAAGTAATATTCTTATTTGATGAAACATTATTTTAAACATTTTCTGATCACATGAAGTGGTTGTGTAAATATTTTTATTTTCAAAATTCATCAAGCGGGTGGATTTTTGGATATTAGTATATTATATTCTATTCTATTCTATTATTACATTAGTGGATATTTGCAGAACTTACAGTAACAGGTCGTGGCCTTTTGGAGAAAATATTTTTAATTATGAGACACAGACACAGAGACAGAGAGACGGAGACGGAGACGGAGAGCCCCCCTCCGGCAGTAAATTTCTCTCTCTCCCACACACACACACACACACACACACACACACAGAGCTCGTGCCCTCACTACGGTCCGGCGTTCCTCCGACGGCGGTGACCTTTCCTATAAACGCTCAGATCACTTTGCCGCGCTGCCGTCTCCTGTAATTACACCAACCCTCCGTAGAGCGCAGAACTAGAACACACACATCAAACGCTGGCTGTCGTGTTCCATCCAGACCTCGGCTCCCCCTAATGGCTCTTGTTAGCCGAGGTCAAAGTCCTTTCTACGCTACAAAGAAACAGTTCCGTCCCTGTGGAACTCCCGGCCCTCGGCTCGCCGGCCGACTGCAGAACTCCTCTTAAAGGAAAACTTCAGGCAAATCTTCAAACTCTGCTCTTCAAACATGGACGTTTCATGTAAAGAAACCAATTTAATTCCCACCCAGAGGGATGTGTGCGATTAGAAAATCACTTTCACTCCTTTGAGTTTCAGCATCAGACTTAAAACTGCCTTGAAAAGTGATTTGGTTCATGTCATTTATAGTTTCTGGAATTCTGAAAAATGTGCTATGATTTTCTTTGATGCTATTTAAAGCGAGTCCGTGGCTACATTTGTGTCTGGAAGCAACAGTAGCAGCTAGCAACAGCTACACCAGCAGCTAGCAAACAGCAAACAGTGGGGACTAGTTAGGTTAGATTGGAACAGCGTTTTCGTCTGATGTTGTTTTATTTTTTTGTCCATAATCTTCAACAGAAACATTCCCAGGATGAAAGATGAATTATGAAGGACAGATGCTGCTGTTGTTCCCACCACCACTAGGGCCAAGTGTAGGATTGTAGCGTTTGTTTGTTGGGAATAATCCTGTTCTGTTGTGGGTGTAGATGAATTCCCACCGTCCTTTGCGGAGACGACTATCAGTGAGAGCTGAGAGACTATCATCGTGTCTGAAGAAGACGGAGGTAATGAGAGCTGTCTCTCAAACTCCGTCTAATCTCGTCGCTCCCTTCAGGCTTTTCTTAAGCTGATGGAGCCGAGTGAAGCAGGTCGAACCGTGAACCTGGAGTGGAGGGAGGTGATGATGATGAAGTTTAACCAACCGCGCCTGGACACAAACTGGACCAGACGTGGGTGTTGCCCCTCCCCAATTTTAAATCCATAAAATGCTGTAGAATAAGATGAAATATCGTGAAATAAAATTCCACGATATTTCATGGTATCAGTATTTTCTTACACCCTTAATAAACCCTTAATAAATACACTATTCTTACAATCACAACATGACTTTTCATCTACATGTTTTTGCTAAAATAGCTTAACGTCTAATGAGATGAAAGTCCTCCGGTCTGTGGTCTGTGCTGGAAAATGAAGATACCAGTCACGTCCACCAGGAGGTTGCGCTCTAGAGCAGAGGCCGTTAATCAGTGCAGGTCAGATCACAGGAAGCCAATTAGGTTCAACAGCCAGCGCTCTGGTTGTTTTCCGTTCCTGGAAAAACACCTAAATGACCTGCTCTGTGGAGCTAACAGGCCGGGACGTCCGCCGCACACGGAGACATTTATTGACGGAGGCCTCGCAGCACGTCTGCGTTTGGCTGCAAAACTCATTAAAGTTTTCCGAGGGCAATAAGGGATCAGGGAGAAGACAGGTGATGCCTTGATAAGACTGCTGCTGCTGCTGCTGCTGCTGTTACTGCTGCTGCCGCTGCTGCTGCTGCTCCTGGTGCTGCTGGTGCTGCTTGTTTGTCTGTCTTTTTT